GGGCGGGCACCGGGACTGCAGGCCTCGGTGTTGCTCCCGCGCCTCGCTCAGCCAGTGGGCGGGAGCCGGTCTGTATGTGGGATCCGAACCCTCGGACGGGAGCGCCGCCGCGCTTCCCAAGCGGCGCACTATCCAGTGCGCCACCGGGCCGGGCCTCTGTAATTTTTATTTATGAAAAATGGTGATCATGTTTCATTTGCTGTATCTTGGCAAGTGCTCTTGGAACTGGCAGAATATTTTTCTTTATTAATTCACAGATTGAGAGGATCCAGAATCCAGATCTCTGGAATAGCTACCAGGCAAAGAAGAAAGCCATGGATGCCAAGAATGGCCAGACAGTAAATGAGAAGCAACTCTTCCATGGGACAGATGGAGGCTCAGTGCCACAGGTCAATCGAAATGGCTTTAACCGCAGTTATGCCGGAAGGAACGGTAAGGAAGCGAGTAATGTGGCTGCTGTGAATGAGGTGTCAGCCACGAGGACCCCAGGCTGGCTAGGGGCAGTGTGGATTCATTGTGTTCCCCCACAGTTGGTGACCATGTTGCAGCCCAAGTTTCAGGGTAGGGCTCTCCCAAAGGGGACTGACTGGCCCTGTGAGGTGGAAAAATTAACCTAAAAAAACATAGAAAATTTTAAAGAGGCTTTACAGAGAAGAACTGAACATTATTTTAGCATTATTTGATACACTAGGCCAACATGTCAAATTATACACTAAACTGAAATTCTTAAAAATGTTCTGTTTTTCTCTCCACAGCTGTGGCATTTGGAAAGGGAACCTATTTTGCTGTTCATGCCAGTTATTCTGCCAATGATACATACTCCAGACCAGACAGCAATGGGAGAAAGCATATGTATTATGTGCGAGTACTTACTGGAGAATACACACAGGGAAATCAGTCATTAATTGTGCCTCCTTCAAAGAACCCTCAAAATCAGACTGATTTATATGATACTGTCACAGATAATGTGCAAAATCCACAATTATTTGTGGTATTTTATGACTACCAAGCATACCCAGAGTACCTCATTACTTTCAGAAAATAATTTTTTGGTGTCCTTCCCAACAGACATTATTCATCTATTTGTGAAACAAGTTTTACAAATGTCTAGTAAAACAAGTTTTAGCTTCCCCCACCAACAGCTTTTTATAAAATCAAAGGATCCTTCTTTGTCACTGAAATCAGATTTTCTTCAGCTTCTCTTTCACAATGGGCATTATTCCATCTTGAGAGCAAATAAATTTGAGAATTTAAATCAGGTAATATAGTTACAACTGTGTCCACAACTGCAGACATCAACTGTGGAAAAAGAACAGGTTTGTATTTTCAGGAAGAGAATAACAGTCTTACGGACAGAGGGCGCAGCTGTGCAGTTCCAGCTGCCCCTGACGAAGAGGGCTGTGGGTCAGGTGCCAGCGCTGTGGGGAACGCTGTCTTACTAATGGGTGGGGCTGCTGCCTTCCCTGGGGGCAGGGATGGGGTCTTATTCATGTTTGTATCCTTGGGCTGAGGTCTTGGCCTGATATACAATTGGATGCTCCCTAAGTGTTTGAAAAACCAATTAAGAATGAAAAGGTCTAGTCAGACTCCTACCCAAAGTAGGAACCATCTCTTCAACATCCTTGACTTATTGTCATTTTGCCTCAAGTTGACCAGATTCCATGACAGAGAACTTGGTTCTTCACAAAGCAGCCCACGACATGTGCTCCAGGACTGTGGTGCACTTGTGCCCTGCACAGTCCAGGGACTGTGGTTTGGCTGGTGGTCAGGGTGAGCTGTGAACCACAGAGCTGTGCAGCACAGCAGCCCCGGCTCCAATGGCCAGAAGGTCCATTTTGATGTTGAACCCAAATCTGCCTTCTTGTAACTTCTACCACTCAGTCTTAATTATGCCCAGTGAAAGCTATGGGATGACGCCTACTATATCCTCAGTGTGGAAACCCTTCTACTGTGCCAAGATTAAATGAACTCTAAGGTTCTTAAATAGCATATTTTCCTTGGCAACCTAACTTTTGATGATCTTAAAGCCTTGTGTACAAATAGACTAAAGGAATTAAGTAGTCATGTTGGTAACTTGCTCAGTATCTATTGGATGGTAAAATTTTTTTTTTTTAAACTTCCACAGGTAAACTTCAGACTCAAATACCATTTACTGAGCACCTGGTAGTACAATAGGTGCTTTCACATACATTATTTTATTCCTCCCAACAATTCTGTGCGCTAAGAATTATATCTGTAATTTAAAATTAAGAAAACATGCTCAGAGGGTAAAAAGCTTCCTTGTCTGAGGTCACCTACGCAGGACCCCTCAGAGCCAGGAACTAAATCTTGGTTCCTGTGAATCAAGCCCTTAGTGGCTGACAGCCTCCCCCTTTCACTGTCTTTTCTTACTCTCACAATCACCCTTTGCTGCCCCATAATCTCTATCTCCAAAAAGCAAGAAATTATTTCATCACCTATTTACACTTAAAAATCCATTTATACCAATGTCTTAACTTTCTTCCCGGGTCCCTGCATATAAAAGCCTATCACCTCTAACTGAATGAAATGCTTTCTCTCAAAACTGCTTTCAAATTTTTCTGACCCCAACCTACACTAAGAAATACATATAATAACAGCCTCAGTACATATACATATGTAACTGAAAAGTTCTATGAAATATACTTACTGTAAAATAGTATATTCTGGAAAATTTTATGAAGCAATACTTACCGTTGCACTTCACTTAAATTATAGGTAATTTTGAATATTTCCAATTCACTGAAATTATCTACAGATGATACTATTTGAACAGATAATTTTGAAATTACTTATTCTATTCCATTCTGATCTCACCTGCTAAACTGATTATATGACTTCACTAATAATTCACAACATAGCAAACAGAAAATATCTGAAGAAAAAGATACGTCCATTTCTACTATAGGAACATACCTACTAAGAGTAAGACATCTTACCTTTGGCCACAACATCCTGTGCCCCATTGTGTTTGATGAAGTATTGCCAGTAAGTTCTTTTTTATCTTAGTCAAATGTTTAATGAGCATCTGTTATATGCTGGACACTGATCAAGGCTCTGTGAATACAGCAATAATCAAAGTGAAGTCTCTACCCTCATAAAGTTACATTGTGGTTGGGGTAGACAGACAATACTCAAATAAATAGGTAAATATATAGTGGTCAGTGCAGGATAGTTCTCTGGGTGGCCCTGGACCAACCCAGTTCTTAGGAATAATTGTAGTGCACTGAGAATGCAATGTCTCGAAATAGGGAGGGACTGTCCGGAACAGCCTAGGCTCTGTTCCAGTCCCCTCCTGGAAACAGGATGTCCTTCAGTGCCTTAGCCCAGCATGTCCTGTGGCCCCTGAGGTACATGGCCTGGGGAAGGCTGCTTTCCAGGGTCCCTCAGCAAGTGGGGCACATGCAGATGAAACTTCATCCACCCTTGGTCAGGTTCATAAATTTATTATTTGTAAATAATAAATCCACTGCTTCATGTAACTTGTGTGTGAGGATGTTCTGTCTCACCAGACTCAGACAATTTGGAAACCAGTAAACACTGAAGCTGCCTCACAGTCAGATAGTGATAAGTGCCACAGAAGAGCTCTTTTCAGACCTCTCCCTGGGCATACCACCACCCTCCCTCCCTCTCTCTCCCAGAACGTATATACCTTCTTTGGATTTATTGATACCTTCAGTGTGAGGACAGTAGGATGGGGCCAGCAGTCAATTCATCCCAAAAGGAGACTTGGCACATCTTTTTTGTTATATTTGTTTCACTCATGGTTAGTCAAAGATCAATATACTTTTCTAATTTCTAAATTCTTACTTAGTAATGGTAATAATTACTCCAGGTCTTGTGAATGTACTGAGTGGGATCAATTTCACTGAAGCAAGGTGTTAGTCACTGTTTCAGGAGTATCATCCAGTCCTTTTTATTCCCAGGACTGGTGTTCCCACATGTCTAGTTCCTTCCATAGGATGCCTTACACTGGACCCCCTCCTACTTTTCTGCTGATTGGTATCCTGCTCTGGATGTCAGGGGTTGACCAGTGAGAATTCTGCAGGTGTTACAAGAGAGATCACCTCCCTAGATAGTCTATATAGAGGGCTATATAGTCTGTCACTACTCAGCTCTGCCACTGTAATCCTAAAGCTGCCATAGACAATAAGTAAATACACAGCATGACTGTGTTCCATAAAACTTTATTTACAAAAACAAGCAGCAGGATGACCCCTGGTTGAGGCTCATGAGAGATTTCTTCCTGCTGGGAACTCCTGGGACTCACATATGAGATAAGCTGAAAGGATGGGATGGGGGAGGAAAGGGAAAGGCTGAGGAAAGGAGGTCTACAAACAAAAAGGAGCCAGTTTGGCCAAAGAGCAATGTGCATGAAAGAAGGTGGCAACTGAAATATAATTATTTAGGTTTATATAATACATTTACAAACGTGCAAACTGACCTTTTGCTGTCCCACCTTTGGTTTTAAAATCATTCTATTTAAAAATATATTTTTAAAAACATTATTTAAAAAGTCATCTTCTATTAGAATGATAAACTTCTGCCTTGTATCAAAAGTTGTGCCACCATCCTGGTTATCTGAGGATTCACCAAGCAGTCCAGCAAGTCATCTGTAGAAATGAATGTGTGAGAAGGGGCCATGGCACTATCTGACGCGGTCTGTTCCACATCTGCATTCTCACTTGTGCTCATCATTTTCTGCCTTTTGGCACAATGCAATTTTCCAAAGTGTTCTCCATCTTTGTCGACAGATCCTTCTCCAGCACTTCCAAATATGCCTTCTCTTTCTGAAGGTAGTTCTTCAGATCTCGGTGTTACAGGAACCAGATAAGGGCCAAAGGGACTGGCCACCTCCTGTCTCCCCGTTCCCCTGGTGAGGTTCGGGCTGCATGTTTGTTCCACCTCCATGTGGCTGCACACATTTAATTCTTCCTTTTTCATGTGCTCTCCATTTGTTCTCAGCGCTTGGATTTCTTCTACCTTAGCTGTTCCATAATGATCAAAAAAGGCAGAAACAGCTCCATTCAAGTAGTGACAATTGACTTCATGGGATGTTTCCTCAACCTAAGGAAAAAGAAAAGTCCTTTAGAATGGTTATATACATTTAGTAAAATTAGAAAACAAATGTTCTAACCAGGGTTGATTTACCACAGGAAACTGACTGCCATTATTAAAATCAGAAGCACCTACCTCAGTTGGGTTTAGCCAAGCTCTGGTATTGTGTGGATCCTCTGCACTTTTCAGGGCACACACAAGCATGCGGGTGATTGCCTCCTCTACCCGGGCGAGGTGGTCCTCTTCCTAAGTGGAGATAAAAAACCACATTTTTATCATCTGTCCCTGCATCTCATGGCTTAATAAAGAGAATAGAGTCTCTTTTAATTGGGTGTTCTGTTCTCTCATTAACATAAGCTTTGTTATAGAAGGAATGAATATGCTAATTGCTGAATCACAATTTTATGCATTCAATCACCATCTGCCATCTAGGAGAGATGTAGAACATTTCCCCAGTCAAATTTAAGTATGTATGCTGTCTATAAGACATAGACCTCAAGTATGAACTACCTTATGATGTGTTTTCCATTCTTTGACATGTTTAAAGTTTTTTTTAAAAAGTACTACACACAGAGGAATAATCCCTATAGAGTTTAACAAGCAAATTATATGAGGGATGGGAGATAACTTATAACAAACATGCTTGGCTACAAGAATGAGGTGGCAAACCATCTAAACATGGCTTTCATAGGATATAATAGGCATAAACTACAGCATTAATAAATTACGTTAAAATCAACTTCTGTCCATCAAAAAACACCATGAAGGAAAAAAACTAGATATCTATAATATAGTCAGTAAAAGATTAATATCCAGAATATATAAAGAACCTATACACATCAATAAGACAAATGACCAAATTTTTTTAAATGGGCAAAAGACATGAAGACAAGCATTTCAAAAAACAGCAATCATATGACTAGTAAACATACCAAAATATGCTTAACCTCCAGGGAAATGCAAGTTGAAAAACCCATGAAACTGGCAAAAGAGAGTCTGATAATTCCAAGTAGTGGAGAAATATACTTTGACAGACAGAAGTCTTATATACTAATAGTGGGAGTGCAAACTGATAGAGACATTTGGAAAACATGTTGCCATTATCTCATGAACTTGAGTACTGTATACCTGACAGACCAGCAATACCACCCATAGATCCAAATCTATGTAACTCATGACAGGAATATCAGAACCTGGAGTGCTTGAGTTATATGTGTATGGTAGCTTTAAAACCTAAGAGCTTCCTTATAGCAATTCCTATTTTTTAAACATTTCACATATGGCAGGAACTATATTAGATGCTTTTACATGTGTTGCCCAATGTAAGCCTCACAACCACCCTTCAGAGGTGGGTTCAATTATAATCCCCATTTTACAAGTGAGGAAACTGAGGGTGGAAGAGATTAAGTAACCATTTAGGTTAGACAGCTAACAAAGGTAACCTGTAACAAATCTGCCTGATTCCAAAACCTATGACCAGAAAGGTGAAGAGTTGGGGAAAAAAGAGTCATATAAAAACATCTCATTAAAGAAGTTAGAGGTTTGGAGCTTGCAAAAAGAAAGGACTAAGGGGACACATAGCAGGTATATTCAAATATTTAAAAAGAAAAAAATCTGTATAGTTTTAGAAAAAACAGATAGGGTTACAAACAGGCAGATGACAGCTCCACTGTTTAACAGCAAATGAGCTTCCTTGGGAGGTGAAGCATCTGTCAGGGCTACTGCAGATGAGACTTTGGCACTGGGAGTGGAAATGGACTCCATGGACCCTACCTAGACATCTGCTCCTACTCTAGTTCAGCATGCTACAAGCAAAATTTCTAATTGTGAGTCTACCGATCTCTTGCAGTACCACTCACCTAAGTCCCAGTGGCTACACCTCTTCTCTTCTTGAGGTCTATGCAATACAGCTTCCTGTTACAATATTCCTTATGCTCCACCTATTCCAAAGCCCTTCCTGTTGTCAAAGGATAGGACAAACCTGACTGAGGGGAGGATGCAGCTGCCAAAGAGACCGGAGAGATGCAATCACGGCTCAGAGTTAAAGAGAGCAGAGATGCAATCAGGGCTTCAGGTTAAAGAGGGCATGAGTGCAATCAAAGCCTCTGATTAAAGACAGCACAGATACAATTAAGGCCTCGGGCTGAAGAGACAGACTTGAGCACACGGGGCAGCTATTGTAATTATCAAATAGAGCAGGCAACCATAATTGAGCATAGCATATCAGAGAGTAAAAAAAGCCTCTGGCAGAAATGAAATAATAAAACCTAGCACTGAAAGACTATGCTTTGAGAAAATGTGTAAGCCAAAACTGAGAATTCTGCAATTAGTGATGAGGATCGTGAACCAGATGGTGTGGGATGGGACTGGGAGGCAGTGTGGGGCACATTCAGCAGATGCAGCCAGGCCTAACGCAATTTTCCTAACAACCCTGGTTAAGGGAGAGGACCCTGGCATGCCAACATCAGGGCCCACTGTGTGTCCTTAAAAGAAGGAGAGTGGCACATCACTAAAATTCCTACTTCCAACCTAAACATCCACCAACAAAGGACAGAATACATAAATTACAGCACATCAAAACAAAGTAATACTGAAATGCTGGTTAAAGAAAATTAACCACCAAGTTTTACAGACAGGCTCTGTATATCTTAAAAGCAGGGATTACATTTATTTTAAAAACAACAAAAAAGTACCAGCTCAATCCATGAGTTTATACTGACAGTGACAGGATCAATGGATTCTACATAATGCCACCAGTGTCTGGGAACAAACAGAACCTGAAAACCAAACAAAAAATGGTTAGCACATTTCATTTTTATACCAGAATCAGACCCTAATTGAGGATGCTAGGAAAAAAAGGAATACAAATGAGTTCAAAGTAATATTGCTGAGGGGAAGGAAAACAAGAGAAAAATCCCCACAATCTTTTTTCCCTGTTGTTCCTTTTTTTATAGACAAGTTTGCATGTTCAACAAAGGATATCGCCAGTTTCTCTATTCTCCTTAATCCTGGGTCTTCTCTGCACCTAAATTTTAGTACAGGATTCTGAGATTCTAATTATTCCTTTCTGATGCAAAATAGTGGCATGCATTCTGAGAAAGGGCATAGGTAAAAATATAGGACAGAGTTTCTGTTCTCTCACAGTTCACAATCTAGCCAATGAGAAGACAATGTGTAGAAAGGTGGCAGTATATTAGTCAATTAGAAGACATTCAATGCTTGAGAACTTCAGAGGTGAGAGAAGGAGGCATGAACTAGAGGGTCAGGGGCAACGTGGATGAAGGTTGGAACCAGAGCTAGGAGAAAATTTAGACAAAGAAAAGAATGAGGACATTCTAGGAAGAAGAAGTGGCACAGACAAAGGAGGCGGGACTATGGAGGGACAGCAAAGTAGGTCAGTCTTACTACTGCAGATGGAGTAACAGGAGGTAAGGTAGGAGAATTAGGTCAGGGCCAGTGGAGGACCCTGAATTCAGAATAAAAAAATCTGGATTTTACCCTGTAGGCATTAGGAGTCACTGATAAATTCTGAGTAGGGTGATGGTTAAAACAGTGACATTAAGAAGGACAGGAGATTCTTGCAATGGTCCAATTATTAAATGTTAAGATCTAAATAGGAAAATATACTAAACAAAAGCAACAGGCAGACTCAAGAAGGATATCTTCTGTCCAGACTCAGTTTGAGACTTCCTATGTAAGGTTGAGTAAAGCAAATGAAGATGATCTGAAGCTTTTGGGCTTTAGACTCAGGAAACCAGTGGCACTTACTATGAACAAGGCAGGGCTGGGAGATGGGAAGAGAGTTCCTTTTAGGAGAACTGGGCAGTAAGAGGGACCACTAAAAGAGAGCCAGTTTATGGTGGATGAAGACAGGATGTAAGAAAAAAGTGATACAACAGAATCACTCACTCAAATTTGGCTACTAAAGATAGAAAATAAATTGGCAACTACTTCACACCCACTAAAATTGCTATAATAATAATAATAATAAAGGAAAATAACAAGTGCTGGGGAGGATGTGAAGAAATTGGAACCCTCATGGATAACTGGCAGGAATGTAACGTGTTGTAGCTGCTGTGGGAAATAGCTTAACAATTCCTCGATAAGTTAAGCAGAGTTACCATATGACCCAGCAATTCTACTCAACAGAACTAAAATCATATTCATAGAAAAACTTCTATACAAATCTTCATAGCAGCATTATTCATAATAGCCAATAAGTAGAAACAACCCAAATGTCCATCAACTGATGAACAGATAAACAAAATTATCCACACAGTGGAATATCATTTAGCCATAAAGAAGAAATGAAGTGCTGATAATATTCAACAACGTGAATGACCCTTGAAAACATTATACTTTGCAAAAAATCCAGACTTTTACAAAAGGCCACATATTATGTGATTGCACTTAGGTGAAATATCCAGAATAGGCCCATCTACAGAGGCAGAAAATAGATTAGTGGTTGTCAGGAGCTGGGGGGAGAGGTGAATGGGCAGTGACTGCTAACAGGTTGAGGTAAGTTGGTCAATTCAAATTGTTTGGGTTAATAGTACCTGAGTGTGAAGGAAGCAGGAAAAGGGCCAACGAGAACGGAGCAGTGGAAGGAAGACAGGCAGGGGGGAGGGAAACTCAAGGGAATAAAGACTCCTTAAAAGAGACTAAGAAAACCTTTCAAATTGTTAATAAAATATCAGACAGCAAGTGCCACTGTTGTAAAGGAAATTTTCCCCCTTGGGTAGCAGTACTAAGTATAATACCTTTGGAAATGTTTCAGAGATAGTAATTTACAAAAGCAAAATCCATTTTTGCTTAAAGGAAGATCATGCTCAGTTCATTCTGCCTCTGTTGGCCCACCATCCAGATGCACTCCAACCTGTGATTACATGTCTGGGTTCACTTCTACCATAGTTAACAGATATTAACTGTGAATGAATTCTCCAGAGATGCTCATCTCTGTACCCATGCCTTGACACTTCTTAATCTGAATGAAAATAGCCTGTGGGCTCTTGTCTTCCTCCAAAGTCCATTTTCCTTTTCACCAATAGGAGGAGCTGTGTCCTAACCCATCTCTTTTCCAGGACCTGTGAAGCAGAGAAGTGGAGAAGCTGCCTTCCTTCCAATAGCTGAGTAGAGGAAAGAAAACCATCCTCATTTATTTGTACTAGGTAGGAAGCATGTGGCACAGGATTTGAGAGAGTTACAGCTGTGATGTCCACTGTCAGGTTATCAATGTTTAAAAACCCCATTACCTGTCCTGGGCTCAGTGTAACCATACGTCTTTGAGCTTTCTGGAACTGAGGAAAACGCTTTAAATCAGGATTGACAACATTGATTTTACTGAACACACTAGATTCTTCATAAGGGATTCTAGTTGGATAAAGGAAAGGAGTATCTTCAGGAGGAAAGAGATGCCATCTTTTCCTAATTAAAAAAATAAGATACAAGTTAGTACTCCAAACTTGAAACAAAACATGGACAAAGGCAGCAGCTAAGTGTTCATTTTACTCATTTAAATTCGATCCTTAAAGGAATACAGGCACCTTCTCAATGGTCACCGGTGAGAAGAAAAGAAAGAGACAGAAACTTGAAACAAAACATGGACAAAGGCAGCAGCTAAGTGTTCATTTTACTCATTTAAATTCAATCCTTAAAGGAATACAGGCACCTTCTCAATGGTCACCGGTGAGAAGAAAAGAAAGAGACAGAGACAAATACATAGATGAGAAAGCAAAGAGAAATAAAACCTAGTAGTGATTTCCTGCAGTTACATTGGGGCTACCAAGTCCTTTCAGAATTGGGAAGTAGTGGCTAGTATTTTCAAACTAAGAAATA